TGAGTTGTTTCTTCTCTCTCAAGTGTTGAACTGTTTAACTGCTTAGCGATAGCGCTGTCTTCTTTTATAACAGATAAAGTAAATAAAACCCAAACCAAAGTTATGACGGAGGAAATCCCATACCTCGCTACACTGCCGCCCGGCGCATTCCCAGACAATCTACGTACTTTCACGTCCATCTCGAACTTTCTTGACCCCATATTCGAGCACTCTGGAATGTTCAGCTATCCCTAATTCTAAGAAGCTGACGGGCTTATCAGGGCAAAAGGTTATCTTCCACGAAAACACGGAAATTTCCTCCTCTTGCTAGCAGCTAAACGACACGAGCAAGTACTTTGCAGGGCAATACGTTAAAATACTATTTCATATTGCACGATAAGTATTTCTTCCCACAATCACTTCAAAGATTTGAGATATTTCGTCCGGAATTACGCAACATACGCCATGCCGGTATACGTAACTTATCAAGGGGCTAAAAAGAGATTATTTCGTTTGACAAGAGGAAAACGCCCTCGTTATTTTACGTAAGGCTTAGGTCGTGAGTGATCCGGGATAAAATTATGAGAAAAAAGGATTTTATAAGATCGGATAAAGGTGCCTCTTTTGTAGTAATCCTCTTCAGCAATGAAACTGTAACTTTTACGATTTAAGGCAGATCAGTTTCACTTGAATTTGTCAACGGCCGAACAGGCATTGAATGAATAGATAACACATCGAGCAATAATCGACCTTAACGTGAACAAAACAAATATCAGCTACTTCAAATTTTTTTGCCATTAAGATCGTAACCTCGATACCAAATTTGGAGCGTGGGAAGACCTGATGGTTTTGTTAAAACAAATACGAAAACTCAAAGACTGCGCCCTTTTCGTAAAAGAATTATAGACATGCACTATCAGATATGTAACGGATTTTACAGTTACAAGCTGAGGGAAATGATGTGTGACATTCAATAACCACGCTATCACAAAGAAGTGAACTTTGTATTGTCTTCTGTTGGGTTTTACAACCTCACAACCTACACAGTTTCTTTCTGTACAATATAGGCCTCTGTTTATATTAAACACGCGTGTGTCGAATAAATTCCACAGTCGTGTTTAACTTAGTCTTCGTCTCTCTTTCCCGCTGCGTCTGTTCCCACCATATTTCTTTGAGGCGTGTTCTCAAAGTACGTCATATTGACGTCATGGGTGCAAAGGTGAGTTAAATTTAGTTCAGCTGCCTGGAGTGGGTTGACATTTTAGGATAGTTGATTTTACAAACAAACATTTGGTCACGAATGGTTGGTCTCCTAGGTTATTTAAAGACTTTAAAATACGCCATGCAACAAAATTTCTCTATATTATGAAGGTTTTCTCAAAGATCTACTCAGGAATTATCAGCTGATGATGTGTTAAGTGGTGATAAAACAGAGAACACGTTGAAATGAGGACTGAAAAAGTTAGTAAACCCCTGGAGTAAAAATAAATGAAAAATCAACGGAAGAAATCAGGATAATAAATGCAACGGCTGATGGATCAATAAAACAACGAACAAAGTAAAGCAGGTTAATTACCATATACTGAATGAAACAAAACGCACAATACGGCTAAACAGGATTAGCGTAATAAGTTGATTTCTGACTGGATCGCGAGCGAATATTATTTTCATAGTTTTTCCGAGAGCGTTTAATGCACGTGCGAACTGGTTTACATAACAAACACCCACACCGAACAGATCTGAAAAAGTTAAACATGGCACAAGTAACTGCTGTAGTTACTCAAATAAACTTACGCCAACGCGCCCCGATCGAGGTTCAGTTGAGGGGGCGTTCGTAGATTTGAGGGGGCGTTTGACCGAATTCTAGACGTGGGCGTTAAGTACAGGAGTTACGCATAACGATAAATACCGGAAAGATAATTATAACAACAGCATCGTATAGTGAAAAACTTATTATAGTGAAAAACGTTTATCTTGTCGCCCTGAATGGAAAGCAAGTCATAGGTTATCCACAGTTTTTCTTGCCCGTTTGCTCTAATTGGATCCGTTTATATAAAGACCAGAAAAGATGGAGTTTGATACGGTATATAGAGTTCAAGGAACACGGGAGTAATAGCAAAGCTCGTGCCTAAGTCCTACAGATCTGAAATATTGTCACACTCGGAGTCCAATAGGACCATTAAATATTCGGCTTCCCTAACTTGTGATCACGCGTTTATTTTTGGGGCGTTCGCCCGAAAAAAGAACTAGCGATCACAGGTTTATTCTTTCGCTCATCATTTTACGCACAAAAATCTTAAAACACCGATATGAGAGTGTGCACACACCCTCTTTTTGACTTGAGTGCGTCGAGATCACAAGCAAAAGGTATTATTAACCGCCGGGGATTATTTGAAAAAAAAGAAAAATAACTAATAATTTTTCTAAATAAACAGGCATCCACTTTAAAAGTGATTATATTTATTCCACTACATAGAGAGGGTAATACACTGTGAGTGTCTATTCTAAATTCTCCCAAAGTTTGGGTTACTTTATTACGTGCTTTAAGAAACACAACTTTTTTTCTTTTCACGGAAAAGAAGCGAGACTGGCTCTAATTAATGTTGCAACTGCCTACAACAATCTCTCAGTTCCTAAGTCGTTAAAAGCTAATTTCTCCCCACAATTTTTGTAAAATGCTTAGAGAACGAATAGGGAGAAGAACGAAATTCGTCATTTCTATTGTTGTGATGTACCGGCACAAAATTGTCAAAACTGACATTTAAAGAGTTGCATACAGTTTGTATTGAAAATCAATACTTTTCGAGTGTTTTGCTCTCAGGAACGAAAAAGTTATTACAGGCAAGATTGCAACTTTGTTTTAAGTATCCAGACACGATATATGCATATATTACTGACCATATGGAGAAAGTAAGTTTGACAATTCTAAATGTAAGTTTCTAGAATCCATTGAAATTTCTAATAAGTCGATAAATTCTTCTACTTTCAAAATCATTTAATTATTTAAGTTAATTGTAATTTTTTTCTACTGCTATTGATCACGGTTACGTTTGATCTGTAATTATGTTGCTCAATGTTACGCACCATTTGGTGGGAAATCGACGTAAGAAAAATTGAATTCAGTCAAAACACTGTCTAATATTGCAGAGGCGTGTGTTAAACTGCACTCTCAAAACTGGTGGCATGGCTTGAACAATCAGAAACTGCAGTCAAGGTAATAAAGAAAGATAATAAATGATTCGGACATGCAATTTTTTTTTTAATTTGGGTAACAGGTTTTTAAATATATGCATGACTAAGATGTTATCATGAAATGAAAGCCTGAAGGCAGAGGCACAAAGACACAAAGGAACCATAGAAAGAAAAAATACCGACAAACGAGATTAATCAATCAATCAATCAAATAGTCAGTCAGTCAGTCAGTCAGTCAGTCAGTCAGTGAATTAATCGATCGATCAATCGATCGATCGCTCAATCGATCAATCAATCAGTCAAACAGTCAGTCAGTCAGTCAGTCAGTCAGTCAATCAATCAATCGATCGATCGATCAATCAGTCAGTCGGTCAGTCAGTGCAGTCAGTCAATCAGTCAATCAGTCAATCAGTCAGTCAGTCAGTCAATCAGTCAATCAGTTAATCAGTCAGTCAATCAATCAGTCAGTTAGTCAGTCAATCAATCAATCAATCAATCAATCAATCAATCAGTCAGCCAGTCAATCAATCAGTCAATCAATCAGTCAGTCAGTGCATCAATCAATCAATCAATCAAACTTTTTGTTAGCATTATAGTAAAACGCTTACCAGCTCAGATACAACATCTGTGAACTTGTTTGTTTAATAAATTTAACCAATGAACGAATAAATGAGTTAATATAGCTATAGCAAACTAAAATGCTCGTGAACTTACCAACATCAGACACATCAGACCCTGCCGACTGTACAATTTGTAGCTCGGTTAATTTCCGACGAAGGCAAATATTGTAGGCGCCTAAAGCAAGACTCCCCACTACTATCAACACAAGGAGGGTAACCACGATTTTGGACTCTACATATGTTAAAAACCCTGTGGAAAATAGCATACCAACTTTAAACATGATTGAGTAAAACGAGCTACAATGATTAGCTAACGTGGACTGTTGCAGACTCTAGTAATGCGGCCCCCTTATGGACTGAGAGTAGTGTGGGTGGGGGGGGGGAGTCCTCAGTATCCCATATTCCATTGAATCTTGGCCTAATTGTCCTGTATCCTATTAATTTAAGTTGCAACATTTACATTTTTATTACTCGATATCCCGGGTTATCTGCTCCGAATGTCCCATATCCCAGGACTTTATCCCCTAAATATTCTGTATCCCGTTAATTTTTCACACCAAGATCCCGAATACCCCTAATAGGGCCTCAGAGATGACCGTTTTCAAAGTCGAGACACTTCAATCACCAGCAACTGGGCATTGGCTCTCACTTGCCGTCCAGGAGGAGCAAAGAGTCTGGGAACCAGTCCCAATCGGTCAGTGAAGTAATCAAGGGAGTTGTTGAAGCCTGAGGCCGGGTTCAACTGCGTGATGACGTCAGATCCTAACCATTATCTACAATCGACTATCAAGTGTTGTTTAGCTCGCTTACCAGGACGCTTTCCCCCGTTTAGGAAACCACGTATGTCTTTGCATTGACACGTTTCGGGATCCATATGTTTGCCTTCGCTCGTGCAGTCCCGTTCATAGTAAGAGTCACAGACACAGGAACATTTCTTTTCACTCCATATCTATGGGAAGGACACAACAGTACTTAAGTCACGCTTTGTAACTTCGCGCCATGGATCAAAGTGATACAGTTGGGGAGCTGGAGGGCATGGCAGGGGAAAGGGATGACAGTGGAAGATGTGACATTATGGTTGGGCTAAAAACATCTCCCCAGTAATAGCGTGACCCTGGTTTGTGGGCGCGGGGCAAACGTTACGTGAAAGGAGCGTTGCGTGACCTATACGCTGCAGTCCTTGAAGACCGTAGAAGTTTGAAGCAAGAGAACCTTTACCTTTTTCGCTGGGCAAACTGCTGGTGGTCTATTACATTCATAACGGCAGAGATGCGTATTCCAGCTAAATTGAAAGAAACACCCAAAATTGTTAACAAAGCTATATAATTAATAAATTGACCTCAATTCTGTCTCTGGCACTCACCTAAACCCTTCTTTGCGTTTGATGATGTTGTTCGGTGGTGGAGACCATTGAAATAAACATTTGCATCTGCAGCTTTGGTCATTCCATCGTTGTACTTGAGGTTCACACTGGCTGTCATTGGCTTTGCACTTGCCGGCGCAGCTCGTGTGGTTGTGAACAGTTACTTCTGTTTTTTCCCAGTTGCGCATAGTGTTATAAACTGTCACTTTAACTGGGTCGGAATGGGTGGCAACACACTGTTTGATGTTGGGGCTCTCATACTCCCATGAGCCCTGGCATTGGTACAGCTGAATGTAATAAGGATAGAATCTGTGACGTGGCTCGTCAATTGCAACAGTTGTGAGGACTGGTTTGCTGCACTCCACGACTTTGACATCAGCAGCCTCTGAAAGGTACCGTAATGTTAGAATTCCGACCCCTCTCATGATAGATTAAATAGGGGCTTCCTTACCCCTGCCCCCTCCCCCCTCAACCTTCGCTAGTCTCTACCGATGCTGCCCTGTACCCTGTAATGTGGCCATGGAAACCGAAAAACAAAGCAAACGAAAAAATTCCCGTTTCGCAGCGCATCTCTGGGATGTTGCTCACGCAAAAAGGCTTTATTTTGTCTCCCGTGCGTTATATCTTAGGGCCGTGACATGGGCGTTGGTTTATTGAATACACCTTTGGTTTCGACGCACAATGGCCGATTGAGTTTCACGTTTGAGCAGGAAACTCGACATCTCTGTTTTAAGGTTTCGTGCTTCAATTTTAGTGTTACGTTTAAAGATAACCACTGGAACCGCACAGGAAGAATGTATATACGTATTTCCATCGATCAAGGGGTTTCCCCTGATCTGACACGTTTCATGTGGCTATTCATAGATGTGGCCAGCGAAAATATGCTTTCTCTTTCAACCAGTCAGAGAAGCTTTTCTTTAATTTAAGCTCTCTTTCTTTGCATCCTTATACAAAGTTGCGAAAAGAGTATTCTTTGCGTTCGAGTCAACAAAGTTTATCGGAAGGACGGCAAACCGGAAGTCACTTGTGATATTGTGTCTAAGCGATCGAAACCCTCGCTCATTCTTACTTAGTAAATTTGAGTTTACGCAAAGTAATTGTATTACAATCATTGATTTCTATGTGCAGGACTTCATAATTGATGTACACGTGAACAGTTACAATAGCGTTACGATTTTTAAAGTAATAACCAATTTAACTGAACAGATATATCCATAAACAGCTTAACAACTAAACCAGGTGATACTCACCGATGATTCGAAATGCGGTTTGAAGGACAAGAAGAATACAGTAGCCCATCGTTGAAGCTAATGACTTCATGGCCGACACTATGTCTTCTTACTTTCTTTCAGGCGTGTTTTTCTTCAGATTACAGCAAGCGCGGACTTCTTTCGCCGCCCCCGTTTAGTAGGAACTAATCTGTGCGCGTTCACAAACTGTATGCAAATATATCTTCCCATCACTGAAAGCCGCCTGAAAGTGAATGCAAATTAGGTCGTCACGAGACGTAATAAGATAAGCGCGGAACAAAAGGTTAATAGGTAAGGGAAGACAAAGCAGCGTCNTAATTTAAGTTGCAACATTTACATTTTTATTACTCGATATCCCGGGTTATCTGCTCCGAATGTCCCATATCCCAGGACTTTATCCCCTAAATATTCTGTATCCCGTTAATTTTTCACACCAAGATCCCGAATACCCCTAATAGGGCCTCAGAGATGACCGTTTTCAAAGTCGAGACACTTCAATCACCAGCAACTGGGCATTGGCTCTCACTTGCCGTCCAGGAGGAGCAAAGAGTCTGGGAACCAGTCCCAATCGGTCAGTGAAGTAATCAAGGGAGTTGTTGAAGCCTGAGGCCGGGTTCAACTGCGTGATGACGTCAGATCCTAACCATTATCTACAATCGACTATCAAGTGTTGTTTAGCTCGCTTACCAGGACGCTTTCCCCCGTTTAGGAAACCACGTATGTCTTTGCATTGACACGTTTCGGGATCCATATGTTTGCCTTCGCTCGTGCAGTCCCGTTCATAGTAAGAGTCACAGACACAGGAACATTTCTTTTCACTCCATATCTATGGGAAGGACACAACAGTACTTAAGTCACGCTTTGTAACTTCGCGCCATGGATCAAAGTGATACAGTTGGGGAGCTGGAGGGCATGGCAGGGGAAAGGGATGACAGTGGAAGATGTGACATTATGGTTGGGCTAAAAACATCTCCCCAGTAATAGCGTGACCCTGGTTTGTGGGCGCGGGGCAAACGTTACGTGAAAGGAGCGTTGCGTGACCTATACGCTGCAGTCCTTGAAGACCGTAGAAGTTTGAAGCAAGAGAACCTTTACCTTTTTCGCTGGGCAAACTGCTGGTGGTCTATTACATTCATAACGGCAGAGATGCGTATTCCAGCTAAATTGAAAGAAACACCCAAAATTGTTAACAAAGCTATATAATTAATAAATTGACCTCAATTCTGTCTCTGGCACTCACCTAAATCCTTCTTTGCGTTTGATGATGTTGTTCGGTGGTGGAGACCATTGAAATAAACATTTGCATCTGCAGCTTTGGTCATTCCATCGTTGTACTCGAGAGTCACACTGGCTGTCATTGGCTTTGCACTTGCCGGCGCACCTCGTGTGGTTGTGAACAGTTACTTCTGTTTTTTCCCAGTTGCGCATAGTGTTATAAACTGTCACTTTAACTGGGTCGGAATGGGTGGCAACACACTGTTTGATGTTGGGGCTCTCATACTCCCATGAGCCCTGGCATTGGTACAGCTGAATGTAATAAGGATAGAATCTGTGACGTGGCTCGTCAATTGCAACAGTTGTGAGGACTGGTTTGCTGCACTCCACGACTTTGACATCAGCAGCCTCTGAAAGGTACCGTAATGTTAGAATTCCGACCCCTCTCATGATAGATTAAATAGGGGCTTCCTTACCCCTGCCCCCTCCCCCCTCAACCTTCGCTAGTCTCTACCGATGCTGCCCTGTACCCTGTAATGTGGCCATGGAAACCGAAAAACAAAGCAAACGAAAAAATTCCCGTTTCGCAGCGCATCTCTGGGATGTTGCTCACGCAAAAAGGCTTTATTTTGTCTCCCGTGCGTTATATCTTAGGGCCGTGACATGGGCGTTGGTTTATTGAATACACCTTTGGTTTCGACGCACAATGGCCGATTGAGTTTCACGTTTGAGCAGGAAACTCGACATCTCTGTTTTAAGGTTTCGTGCTTCAATTTTAGTGTTACGTTTAAAGATAACCACTGGAACCGCACAGGAAGAATGTATATACGTATTTCCATCGATCAAGGGGTTTCCCCTGATCTGACACGTTTCATGTGGCTATTCATAGATGTGGCCAGCGAAAATATGCTTTCTCTTTCAACCAGTCAGAGAAGCTTTTCTTTAATTTAAGCTCTCTTTCTTTGCATCCTTATACAAAGTTGCGAAAAGAGTATTCTTTGCGTTCGAGTCAACAAAGTTTATCGGAAGGACGGCAAACCGGAAGTCACTTGTGATATTGTGTCTAAGCGATCGAAACCCTCGCTCATTCTTACTTAGTAAATTTGAGTTTACGCAAAGTAATTGTATTACAATCATTGATTTCTATGTGCAGGACTTCATAATTGATGTACACGTGAACAGTTACAATAGCGTTACGATTTTTAAAGTAATAACCAATTTAACTGAACAGATATATCCATAAACAGCTTAACAACTAAACCAGGTGATACTCACCGATGATTCGAAATGCGGTTTGAAGGACAAGAAGAATACAGTAGCCCATCGTTGAAGCTAATGACTTCATGGCCGACACTATGTCTTCTTACTTTCTTTCAGGCGTGTTTTTCTTCAGATTACAGCAAGCGCGGACTTCTTTCGCCGCCCCCGTTTAGTAGGAACTAATCTGTGCGCGTTCACAAACTGTATGCAAATATATCTTCCCATCACTGAAAGCCGCCTGAAAGTGAATGCAAATTAGGTCGTCACGAGACGTAATAAGATAAGCGCGGAACAAAAGGTTAATAGGTAAGGGAAGACAAAGCAGCGTCGCTTAGTAAACGCCTTTGTGTTTTTACTCTTGAGTTGTATTCAATCACTGCAAAGGGTTTTTCCCTCCACTTCCGCGCCTTCATCATAGCTTGACAAAAGCGTGGGAAAAAGCGCCCCATCCAATCGGATACTTAGAATTAGTAAAAAAATAATAATAAGCTCGGATAAGGGATCACACCCCAAATCACATGATTCAGTTACAGAGTGACGATTTCTTTAAATAGAACTGCTTGATAACCGGAAATTTAAGTTTATTACGCACTTTTATGATTCCTGAGTTTTCATTCTCTCAATAAATTGTTACATGAGGCAAGAAACAATTTTATAGTTTCGGTCGAGTAAGCGTATTTGCTCGTACAGTACATCAAAATACGTGACAAGTTTTAAACCTACCGGCCAATTTTCATCAAATGTTACAAAAATTCCAAAATTCCGGGGGGTGCATCATCATAAGCTAACAGGTATATGCATGCTAATAAAAAATAATGTCCTTGGTTTCAATTTCTCCCGTAACCTTTGACCCAATTTGCCGAGAAACGTACAGTTCTGGGAAATCCATCGCTATGCTATGGGCATGACAACCACAAACATTCCTTCCTAGAGATTTTATTTGTCGGTAAAATCCCGGGAAAACATTGATTTCGTTTTCCGAATGTAAGACTCGGTTCCAGAAGGTTCAAGAGTTGTAGCAGAAAAAGTGTGGTCTTCACGATCAACGTATTCTACACGGGTTCCGTCATAACGGTTATTTTTGCATGATGATGATCTTACAGACCTTCACTTTTTTCCCGCGACTGGGGAATGATAACCGACCACTTCGGAAATCTCAGGTGCGTCGAAATAAATAGAAACGCTTCCACACCGAAATTTAACAGTACAATCTACGGCTAAAATCAGACAAACGGAACCTTTACAGTGCGTTGTGTCTTCATAACTTGAGCCAGTCTGGTAAAAGCTTTACAGGTACGACTAGCCCGTGGCGAGAAGAGGGAGGTGGGGGAGGGGTGGGTGAAAGAGAGTTGACTTAAAGTGAAAGTGTTAAGTTTAGATTTCGACATAGGGTAGATTACCTGTTTAGTACTGAGAAGTATGTCGACATGATTTAACGACAAATGATCTTTCTGAATTTCCCCTCACGTTTGCACCCTTCCAAATGGCGGGAAAAATCCCTGGGACGTAAAAGCTACTGTGGGTCATTGACAACCCGACTTGGGTTTTTTCTCCCTCAGGGGATGATTTTCTCGGCGCCCGTTTACGGAATTAAAATCTCCTCGAAAATAAATCCAACACATTTTGCCTATGTACAATTTATTGACATGTATATCAGCTAAATACAACAGATAATTCTAAACAATGAAAACGGCTTTCCTACATGAAAGTTAATAGTCGCAATTTCGTCAGCAATGTCGTTTACTGCCCAAGAACGGGCCTGGGTTTGAAGTTGCTGGTCAGTGAGAATACGACACAAAAGTCACGTGATATTACCACTACTTTGTCTGCCTCCAAGTCGTGGTGGCTATACTTATGTTCACTATTGTAGTATTCGTTCAAAACAACTTCTTTTCTTAGAAAAGGTAATAAAATATCGCATTATAAACTCTACATTTTCTAATGAATGTTGCTACGTTTCAAGAATAACGTATTGCTTGCGCGAAGCTGTCGCGAAGAAGGAGTGGAAAAAAGGCACTTTCTTCCCCAGATTCCCTTCGTTCTCCCGCACGCCTCGTTCCTCTTTTTCTCGCTCCCAGAAACCGAGCGAGAGCGTGGAAAAGACCAACAAAATAGCTCTTAATTAAGCTTTGAAGTACCTTCCATATCACAACTCGCATAGGCATCAATTTCAATTTAGCCAAGGATTATAATGAGCGATTACAACTTGAATTGACCAAAATTATCATTGAAATGGTTAAGCTTTGGCCAAAAATAATCTTTTTCTTTTGATTATTCAGGCGCTACATTCAGTCTTTGATCTAAGCGACACTTGGTTTGCCTCGTTCCCTTGACGGACTTTTTCTGAATTGACATCCCGCGTCTCTTCCATATTCACTGTCCATGAAATACCGGGTCTATATCCAGGTCTTATATATCTGTTATCTGTACTTTAGGGGACAGAGGAGCAGTGCAGCTGTCGTCATCGGTCGACTCCTTTGTATCATCTAAGGAGTTTGTACACTCGGATCCCACCACCACCTCTAAATCTGCAAAAATTAAACGATGGAAATACTTTTTATTATAGTAATTTACAGTTAACAAAATGACACGGCAATTTTGGAGGCTAGTTAATTGATGCTGTATTGCCGGCTTGTTTTCGTCCGCAGTTTGAGTTCTTAAGGAGCTCAGTCGCGGCATTTTGAGTTCATATTTTGGTCGCTTACAAAATTACCTTCAAATTGAAGGAAACCCGAAAATATTAGCTTACTAATATAGAAAAACACCAAATTATAGAGACAATAATAGACCATAAAGAAACAAGCATGGTTAAAGATGGAGGAAATTAACGCGGATTATAATAAACGACGAACTTGAAAAATTTTGGCTGAATTTTTCAAGATACGTAAGCCGTGAGGGGGCTCCTTTGATTAATTTCTACCGCACCTCTTTTCCCCTCTAGGTTTGTGCTTTGGTCAGTTTGCAAGGATCAAAAATCGTTCGGTCGAGGAAGTCCCAAGTCAAGAAATGGCTGTGTGGTAATCTACCACAAAACCAACACATGCTAGAGACACTTGGAAGGTGCATACTTACCGTCACTAATCTTGCGCGAGTCTAATCTGTCGAGCGGGGAATGAGACGAGTTCTGTTTGTTTCTTTTTCGTACCCAGTGCACCAGAGCACAAATGAGCAGAATAATCAGCACTGCTTGACCAATCAGGAGCGTTATGAACATACGATTCCTTGAATGAACTGCAAAGAAAAACAAAACACATCTTTTTAAATGTTTTTTTTTTCCGGCTGTCTCATTTTGAGTTTCATCAGTGGCCAAGAGTAACGTCCTGTAAAACAAAAGCAGTCCTATGTAGATGATCTTCTCAACAAAAAGACACCGGGCCTCCATTACAAAAAAGGTAATGTAATCACCTTATGTAAAACTAAAACCGTTCTTCCACCGTATC